TGGCGGACCTGGTGGCAGCTGTCTGGTCCTCACAGATGGGCGTGGCACTGAAGAAGAATAAAATCTTTTCCAGGAATTCAGTGAGGCCTACTGTCTGGAATTGGGTCATTGGTCAGAGCAATAGAAATACTTCGATTTGGGCTGGGGAAATAGCTCAGTGGCAGAAGCGCCTGCCTGGCAAGTGCAAGGTCATGAGTTCAATCCTCGGTACCACAAAAAAAAAAAAAAAAGAAAAAAAAAGAAATACTTTGATTGGCTCAGCTGATTAGATTCACCCCCACCCACTACAAGAGAGAACACCTGTACAAAAATCCAGATTTGGCGAGCAAGGAGGAAGGTCATGGCTGCTGAGTAAGCACCATCAGTGCTTGACCCAGTAGGCATATGAAGTTCCTCTTATGGCCAGGTAGCTCACCTTCCATCGAAATGTTAACGCATAGCTTAAGGGCAACAGTGCCATACCAAACTAATTGGGTTCTTCCCAGCTCCCTAACTTTGGCTCTGGGCAAGTTGCCTAAGCTTTCCTTGAGAGGTTTCTTATCTGTAAAATGAAAGCTATCAGCACTATTCGGTAGAATTTTTTGTGATGATTGAAGGTCGCAGGTCAGTACCATCATAGCAGCCACAAACCTATGTGGCTACTCAGCATTTGAAATGAGGCTCGTGCATCTGAAGAGTTAAACTTTTAAGATCGAATGAAAGGGCTGCTTCTTGTCCTGTGAGGTGAAGGTTTGTTGACTGCAGTAAGCCTGGGATTTGGAGCCTTAGGGCTCCACTTGGAGCCTGGAATCAGCTGACCCCACCATTGCTCACATCCTGTCATCCTTGGCAGTCCTTAATGGGCATCCACCTGCTTGGCAAGCACAAGGTCCTGAGTTCAATTCCCAGTACCAGTATATATAAATTCAAATGAAACAGCCACAGAAACTGGGTGTGGTGATAGACAACTGTAATCCCAGAACTCTGGGAGGCTGAGACATGAGGACTGCAAGTTTGAACACAGTCTAGGCAAGTTAGCAACTTAGTGAGACCCTATCTCAAAACAAACCACTCCCTGCCAAAAAAAAAAGGACGGAGAATGTAACTCTGCAAAGGCCCTGGGTTCAATCCATAGTATTACAAAATGAATGAATGATTGGATGAATGAAGCCACAGCTGGCCATGGTGGTGCACGCCTGTAATTCCCACTACTCAGGAGGCTGAGGCAGGAGGATCACAAGTTTTGAGGCTAGCCTGGGCAATTTAGCAAGATCTTGTCTCAAAATAAAATTTAAAAAAGGGCTAAGGATGTGGCTCAGTGACGGAGTACTTGCCCAGCGTGCAGGAGGTCCTAAGTTCAACCACAGTAACTCCGCCCCAGAGAAAGGAAATGAAAAAATTAAATAGCCACATATGTACAGTGCTACTGTTGTGGGTGCATAGTTCCATCTTATTGTGTTATTTAGGATAAAATGCTCCATGCTTTGACTTTTGAGTAGGAATTGAAGTAGCACAGAAAGCTCCACTCTGTGTTAGTTCTCCCCCTCCCACTACTGGGGATCAAATCCAGGGTCTCATGAACGCTAGGCAAGGACTCTGCCCCTGAGCTACATCCTCAGCCCTAGTTCTTATTTTAGCTGCCATACACTGATGTCCTGGTGACTTGACCACACTCCTTGAAGATTTTGGTACCTGAGTCCCCTGAGGCGTCCTGCAAACCTGGCTGGCTTCAGAGCTCACGCAGGTAGCCCAGCCAGCCCCTCGGTTCATAGACTTCCTCAACTCCGTGGGTGGACGCACCTCCCCTTTGTCCCCTCCACTTGTTCCCATAACAACCTGAGGAACACACCCCCAGGCGAGCTGGATTGAAGTCCCACGCCTGGTCTCTAATTACAACACCCTAGCCCCCCAGTTCTTTATATCCCTTGCTCCTTGGAAGCCTGGTCTTTAGGTCATTTGAGACTTCCAGCTCCTTAACTGCTTTCTTTCCTCCACTTCTCTTCCTCACCAGCCTCAGTTCCACAGAGCTTCACCTCGGCCCCTCAACCACACGGCCCCCGTTAGTATATCAACCTCCCAAACTGGTGGCTGGCTTCACACTTGCCTCTGCAGTCCATCTTCCACTCTGCAGCTAGGGTGACAGCTCTACTAAATCTCATCACATTACTTTCCTGCTTAAATTCTCTGATGCTCCCCATTGCCGACTACTACCTGTTCCCGGAAGGAAACAAACTTCCACAGGTCTCCATGCCTTTGCATGTGCTTCTGGCTAGTTCAGTTCTCTTCTTGTTCCTTGCTTGAATTATGCCCTATTCTTCCTTCAAGATCTAGTTGAGGAATCACCTCCTCCAGGAAGTCTTCCTGATCTCCCCTATCCCCCCCAACTTAGTTCAGGTACCCACTTCTGTGTGTTCCCAGGCATATATGAGCCCTGATTATCCAATAGTATCACTGTATGCTAACTAATCCAACTTATTTCTCAGCTGTGTCTGAGGACAGACACTAATCCCATGGCCAGCCTTTGTATATTTATTAGCAAGGGTACAGGTTGTCTTTTTAAGCTGCTGCATAGCAGCATGTACAGTAGGATGACTCCCCACTCTCCTTGCACTCATATTCTTGCTGAGGAAGAATGGTGTGTCCATAAAATAATTAAAAGTGATGCAGAGTGATATGAGATGGTCACCAACATCCAAGTGGTGCTTTGTTTTTGGAACAGAGCTTGCTCTAAAAAGTAGTTTTCCATTATGACCCAGAATTCAGATATATAGAGAAAACAAAAAGATTCACTAAGCAATATTTATCTTTCTTCATTTGATGCCTTCTGATATTTTCTATTCTATTCTACTTCATTTTGTAATAGCGATTGTCAAGATACTGCTATGGGCTGGACGCAAGAATTCATATATTAAAGTCCTAGCTCTCAACACCTCAGAATGTGATCTTACTTTGAGAGGTAATAAAGTTAAAATGAGGTCACCAGAAATGTGTCCTACTTTAATACAGCAGGTACCCCTATAAAATGGGGAAGTCCGGCAGCAGACTGGCATCCAGAGAACACCTCATGAACATGAAGTGACAGTTTACAAACCAAGGAGAGAAGCCTGTAGTAGATTCTTTCTCCATAGCCCTCCATAGAGCCAGGCGTGGTGGCGCACGCCTGTAATCCCAGCACTTGGGAGGCTGAGGCAGGAGGATCATTGTGAGTTCGAGACCAGCCTGGGCTAAAGTGAGCTCAAGGCCAGCCTGAACTGCATAGTGAGACCCTGTCTCAAAAAGACAAAAAGAGAAGGGCTTCAGAGCCTCCAGTATTGTGAGATAACTTCCTGTTGTTTAAGCTACCGAGTTTGTGGTATTATGTTACAACAGCCTAAGAAACTAATACACTCACCAAATTCATTTTATGACTCACTATTGGATTGTGGTTCACACACAATAAAGTGCTATTTTCTCTCATGCAATTCTCTTTTTTTTGGTGGCGGTGGTGGTGGTACTGTGTATTGAACTCAGGACTTTCTTACCGAACTACATCTGTAGCTCCTTTTCTATTTTTTATTTTGACACAGAATTTTGCTAAGCCACTAAGTTGCCCAGGCTGGGATCAAACTTTCAGTCCTCTTGCCTCAGCCTCCCAAAGTGCTGAGATTATAGGCATGTGTCACCAGGCCTGGCTCTCATATTTTTACAGCCACTTGGTGGGACAGCCAGGCCTGGAGGAGGCACGGCAACAGGGCTGCCACTTTCAGAGTCAAGCAGGTGGGGTGTTGTTTGAAGATCTGTGCCTGCATAATCTGAAGAGTGCTTTTCTCAGCTCAGTGCCCTTAGCCTCCTCATCGTCGTCTAGGCCCTGTTGAAATACGTATAAAACTGTCCTCATCTGAGGGGGTAATAAACAGTCACAAAGCTGTAAGATGCAGTCAGACCCAACCCAGATTTGCCTGTAAATGCTGGCTTTGCCTGTGTGACACTACGATGTCCCAGCCGGTGCAGTCAGTGGGAAAGGAAGACAATAAATGCTATTTTCCTACCGGTACTTGGGCCTCATCTTTTTACTGTTTACAAGGAGCCAACGTGAGAGATTGTCCTGACTCTCCGTCTCTTCCTGGTTGTCTCTGAGGACCTGGAGCTCCTGAAACCCTCAGGTGACAAAGCCTGGGTTCAGCTTCCATGTGTGGATGCCTGCAGGCAGAGTGGGCACCTGGGTGCGCAAATAAAGGGTGTGTGCCCCGAGCACCTCCATGCATTGCTTGCTGAACAAACTCCTGGACAGATTTTCTGCTTGCTGCGTTCCCCCCTGCTGACCTTCCTCTTCCTCTCCCTGCTTTGCAGACACAATAAATACACTCACCCCTGCTGGGTTCTGACTTTTGGCCGAGGACCCCTGTGTAGGACGGAGACTCTTCGCTTTCCTCACACCCGGCTTATTCTGGACCATAAAATAGCGCCTTATGTTCACTGTATGTCAGGCGCTGTTCTAAGCGTTCACAATTCTCAGCGTCTTTCAACAACCTTATCAACTCATTTGCTCCGTTTTAGACGAAGAAGCTGAATCACAAGGAGTAAACTGCCTAGGCTTGTGCAGTTCGTAGTACTGGCGGGATTTGGACCTAAGCGGCCCACGCCCAAGGTCCAGGCTCTTAACCGCGGTACTCTGCAGCGGGTTCCTGTCCTCCGCGGACTGCTGGGACCCGCACTCGGGGACTCGGGTGGGAAGGGGAGAAATCAGTTCAGACACCAGGGGGCAGCGCAGGCCCAGCTTTGGCCTCGCAGCCCGCCCGCGAGGGAAAGAGAGCAGCCGAGTGGAAAACTCCTCCCACCGTCCCCTGCGACAACCCCCGTCCACACACCGAGCCCCGGTTTGGGGTCTTACAACGCCCTCCCCGCGGGATCCCTGGCTCTTGTCCAACTCCTCCCACAGCCAAAAGTGCATGCACAACACTCCCCTAGTTAGAACGGTGACTCAGCAAGTGTGCGTGCGCGCGCGCGCGTGTGTGTGTGTGTGTGTGTGTAGTCGTGTCGCCGGGGAAGTTGTGCTTGTATTTGTTTCCGGGTGTGTCTCAATATTTATCCCAGAAACAGGAACTTCGCCAGGGCCGCGCAGCACATTCGTATCCTAACTCGCCCCTCGGGGACGGCGGGCAGCTCTCCCGCGGGCGCCGGCTGCCCCGGGGTCTGAGGAGCGGCACCCCGGAGGAGCGGCACCCCGGAGGAGCGGCCAAGGCGGGTCTTCGGCGCCCGGCGCTCCTGGAGGCTTCCCGAACTCGCAGCCAGGGCTCCCCTCCTCCAGCGCCTCGCAGCGGCGGTCGCGGCGGTCACGCGACCTCTGAGGCGTTCCCGCCGAGAAGGGAGGCGAAGCTCGGGGTGCAGACAGCCTCGAGCGCCGCGGCTGCTTTTCAGGGCCCTCCGCTGGAGGGAGCGCGGAGCCCACAGGGATGTGCTTTTCCGGAGGCCCCGGGGAGCCCGGTCCGCAAAGCCCCGGGAAAGTCTGAGCGGGGGAGCCACGCAGTCCGGGTTGGCACGGCTGCGCTTGTCGCCGCGCGAGGCTGATGACTGTGGAGGGGCACGCAGCACATGGGGGCCACCTTCCCCTCCAGCCTGGCCTCAACGCCGGGAGGCCCAGCCCGGCTCCCCTGTGCACGACGTGCTTCCCCACCCCGCGCAGGAGGCACACATGTTCACCCCACTTTCTTCCTCTTCCTCCTCCAGCCCACTTTCTCTTCTCTGTGTCGTCAGAGCTCCAGGGAGGGACCTGGGTAGACGAGAAGCCGGAAACAGCAGGCTGAGCCACTGCTTGCACTGGGGAGGACGGCCAGGAGAGGACCGTGTGTGTGTGTGTGTGTGTGTGTGTGTGTGTGTGTGTGTGTGTGTGTGTGTGTGTGTGTGTGTGTGTGTGTGTGTTGTTTTTTACTTTTTGGTGGTGGTGGTGGTGGTGGAGGGGAGTGCTAGCAGGGCCAGCCCTGAACTCACCGGACAGAGCTACAGACCCATGGGACTAGGCAGTGGCCGCTGAGAGAGGGAGAAGACCGAAGAGGGGTGCTGAGGTGAGGGGATGCCTGGGGGGGCTGGGTGTGGGGGATGGGTTAGCGGGACCTCTGGGGTCCTCCCCTGGGCGGGGCGGATGGTCCCTGAGAGACTGTTCAGCTAATGTTCATAGCTGGGGGCACAGAGTTCTGGCAGTTTCCCAGCCTTGGAGGACTTCGGAGCGGGCACAGGCCTCTGCGCGCCCCTCCTCCAGGACGTGGGAAGCTGCGGGGAGGACGGGAGGGAGGGTCCCTCTGCGAGTGGGAGGAGTGGCTGCCCCTCCCTAGAGGTTGATGGCCGGGGCAGTGGGCTCTCCTCAAACTCCTATTCTGCCTCCCGCTAAAAGTTCCTGTTCAAGGGTGTGGCCAGAGGGGAGGGGGACGAGCGAGCCCCAGCAGACCTCATGGTGCCCCAGAGGAGGGGGAATTTCCCCCCTCAAAACCTCTGCACGCTTGGCTGCCGTAGACGCCAAGATTTCCCAGCGGGCTGGCGGGCGGGCCGCGGGGCTGCGCGGGATTAACCCTCCTCGTGCTGACCTGGCCCCACCTCCTTGCGCCTTACCCCTCCGCCCCCGCCCCAGACACACATTGGGCAACTCGGAGAAGCTCTTTCCACTTCCGATCCAGTGGTCCCGCAGGCAAAGCACTCGGGACTATAGGGGTGGAGGTGATGGGGTTTAGCCCCCCCACCCCAGCTGGTGGTTGGGGATCTTGGGCTTTGGGCTTCCCCTCGGATACTGGGAGACAACGCTGGTCCCGCCCCCTCGCACGGTTCCTCCGCACTCCTCTGCACAGGTCCCAAAGCAAAAGGAGCCCCTATCCTGGGCAGACCAATGGACCCAGCCTTGTGATGGAGAGCGGGAGGGAGAAAGGAGGCCTCCTGATGTCTGGGGAGAGGAGAGTTGGAGATTTGAAGCTAGGCCATGCCAGAAAGCTGTTCACTCAACAAGGCCGTGTGTAGGAAGAGCGGCTGCCTTTGGCTTGGGGGTCTCCCCTTTCCCTCTAAGGGTAAGGGAGAGGCAGGGAAGCGAAAGGAGTCCTATCCCTGGGAGCTGGGTGAGGAGGCAGTTTGTTACCTTGGCTCAGGCTCCTCCCTGCCTTGGGCATCCAGGGTCTGGAATCTGGTCACCCAGGAGATGGGAGAAAAAGAGAAGAGAGGAATGAAATTCTTCCTCGAATTTGAAACACAGACTAGAGCTCCAAAAGGTGCCCCGTCCTGAGGAGAGGATGGTTAGAGAGAGACCTGCTTGAGGACCCTGAGCAGGAAGGGAAGGCTTCTCCCTGGGGGAGAAGGAGCTCAGGGAAGTAGGGAAGGGGAGAGGACTGAGAGCAGGACGTAGAGTAGGGATGTCCAGGTAAGCGGCCTCTGTTCACCCTTGTGGGAGCCCTGGGCGATGTGAGAAGCTCAAAGTAGAACCTGAGTTCCTGGGCTCGGGGAGATCCAGAGGTTTCCATCCCATCCTCACCCTCGCCTCTGGGAGAGGGACATTGTGACAAGCTACCTGAGAGAGACCCCTGGGAAACTGTCGGTTTACCCAGCCCAGCTTGCAGCCCCGCACCTCCAGAATGGGGCACAAGGCTCTCCCCTGCTACCCCGTCCCTCCTTTCCTCCCTCCTGTTCACTTCTTTCCTCCTGACCTCCTAGCCCTCTAGCATTCTGGTCCTCTCCTCTCAGGTCCTCAACTCCCGCCTGACTAATCCCACTGTTTCTCTGGATTCCCGTGCCCTCTTGCTTCCGTCTCCAGGCCGTTCCTTTTCCTCCATCTCCTTGCCTCTCCCCCTGCAGATTATGGGATCTGCAGCTGGGAGGGATACTGTCAGCACAAGGTAGAGGTTAATCCCTACTCGGATTCGGAGCCTGGTTTTTCCAACTCATTTGCCAAGTGGCCTTGGGCAAGTTAGGGAACCTTCCCTGTGCCTGGATTTCTTCATCTATGAAAGGGAACAATCACGTACTTTTAAAAAGTGTTGTGGGGGCCCGGGGATGTATCTTAGCGTTAGAGCACTTGTTTAGCATGTGCAAGGCCCTAGGGTTTAATCCCCAGTACTGAAAAAAAAAAAAAAGAAATAGTGAGATTCCAATAAGATAACATACAGAATATAATATTTCCTACAGAGTATTTGCATGATAAATACTCATTATTACCTCTCTGCCGTCTCTTCATCAGACGGCCTGGTGGTTTTCAAATTACCTAATGAAGCCATAGAATTTTGAGAGGTTTTTCAGGGGGCGGCATTGGGGTCAGGTGGTAGAGAGGGGAAGTAGACTCAGTAGAGTTCTAGGCCTTTCACACTTGACTTTAACATACTCCAGTTTTATACATTTTGGGGGAGGGGTACTGGGAATTGAACCCAGTAAGGGGCTTCCGCTGAGCTACATCCCCAGACCTTTTTTTAAAATAGGATTTTGCTAAGTTTCTAAATTTCCTGGCTGAGGCTTGAATTTATGATGCTTCTGCCTCAGCCTCCCAGAATGCTGAGATTATAGGTGTACGCTACCACACCCGGCTAGCTTTATACTTTTTAAGCACAGTAGTCCCCTCTGACCCATGGTTTTACTTTCTGCAGTTTCAGTTATCTTCAGTAAACCACAGTCTGCAAACATCAAACTGAAACCACCAGAAATAAACAATTCTTAAGTTGTAAGTAACTTTTATTACGGTAGTCTTGCAATTGCTCTATTTTAGGACTAATTATTATTAGTTTTGTCTTATACCTAACTGATACATGAAATTTTATCATACGCACCTACGTAGAGGTAAAACCAAGCTGGCCGTGGTAGCACATGCCTGGAATCCCTGCACTCTGGGAGGCTGAACCAGGAGGATGGCAAGTTTGAGCCCACCCCTGGGCACCTTAGTGATTTAGCAAGACCCTATCTCAAAAATAAAAAATAAAATAGAGCTGGGGTTGTAATCCAATGCAAAGGCTCTAGGGTTTGATCACTAGTACTGGAAAAACAACAACAGAACAAAACATATAGTAGACACAGAGTTTGGTGGTATCTGCTGTTCTTGGTATTATCAGAAATTTCAAGTACTCATGTAATGTCTTGGAGTGTGTCCCACCCAGATAAGGGGAGACAACTATATTGGGATTCCATAGATTAGAAATTAAAATTGTCTACTGCTTTAACAAGTTTGGAAAGTTCTCCACTTGTTCACCTCTCATATTTTATGCATGTGAAGATCGAGACCCGTAGAATGGAGGCTTCTTGCCTAGAGAACCTGAGCCTATCTAAAGCTCTTTCTCTGCTGCCCTGTGTCCCTTTGCTACTCTACTCCTCTGGCTAATGCTCAGCCGGTCTCACCCCCATTTCCCATGTCTACCTGCAGTTGAAGATGTTACTCTGCTTAGATATTGACCAAAGGTGCCAGTGGCTTGAGTTGGCCTGGCTGTGTTGATGGGGATGGTCTGTGGGAGGGCCATCTGCAGGAGGTCTGGGCCTGCCCCAGAAGCTAAGCCACGTTTCTTGGGCTCCTTTTTTTTGAGATCCAGTCGCACTGTGTAGTTTAGGCTGGCCTTGAACTTACTATATAGCCCAGGTTGTCCTTGAACTCATGAAGATGCTCCTGCCTCAGCCTCCCTGCTGGGATTACAGGTGTACACCACCACACCCGGCCATGGGTACCTGTTAAAATGGCCTTGTTCCTCTTTTCCAGGCACCCATCCAAACGCCAGATCATGTCTCTGTGGAGTCTGGTCTCCAAGATGTCCCCAGAAAAACTACAGCGGCTCTATGTGGACTTTCCTCAGCACCTGAGGCATCTCTTAGGTGACTGGCTGGAGAACCAGCCTTGGTGAGTTCTGCTACCCACACTCTCTCATCCCCACTTTCCCTCCCTTTATCCCCCCCACCCAGTGGAATTTGGAACTTGGGGCCCATTACTCCACTGGTGGTGGCCTAGACTTAGCAGGGGCAGATGATGCACGTTGGCTCGTAGACCCTACCTCTCAGTCAGCCTCTACCTCTGAGTCAAAGAGGTAGAGGCAGAGGCACTGGTGCAGAGGCACTTTGCACAAGAGCTGGAAGATTGAGAAGCGAGGGCCGTGGGTGACAGCTATAGAGGACCTACCTGGAGAATAAGGAGAGGGAAGTGGGCCGGAGGGTCAAGGGAACTGAGGAAGCTCTGGCTTGAGGCCGCCCCATCCTGCTCGTCCCACAGGGAGTTCCTGGTCAGCTCAGACGCCTTCTGTTGCAACGTGGCAAGCACCCTGCTTTCAGCCACCGTCCAGCGTCTTCAGGCTTCTGCAGGAGAGCAGGGAGAGGGAAGCACCGTCTTACAGCACATCAGCACCCTGGAGGTGGGGCAGGAGCGGAAGGGACAAGGAGGGGATGGGACGAGGCAGAGCTGAGCTGAGCGTTGGATGCTGGAAGAAAATTGACTGGATGGTGGAGGACGTTGAAAGCAAGCTAGTGCTTCTGCGATTAGCTGCTAGCTAACACGCAAATTAGATTTTAAAAGCCTGCAAATGCCTAAGACTTCTCGAATCTGCAGTTGTGTGGCCTTTCAGTGTTTGTGTGAATAGGAGCTTGGGGATGGGAGGGGGAGGAGGACACAGGTGAGAGTCAGGCTAACTGCCCACTACTGTCACTTCCGTAGAGCATATATCAGAGGGACCCCCTGAAACTTGTTGCCACTTTCAGACAAATACTTCAAGGAGAGAAAAAAGCTGTTATGGAACAGGTATTGTGATACCCCTCTTCCCAACCTAAGGCAACTCCTTGGGACTTTAGATTGAGCCCTAAGAAGCTAGAAAGAATATGAAAGTCAGAAAAGGCTCAGTGTTTTAGGCCCGGGGTGACCAAAAGAAATCCCTGGAGTCAGAATGAACCCAAAGCAAGTTCAAAGAGAAGCTTCAAACAAGACTGAGAATAAAAAGGCCTAGGGAGAACAGAGCAAGGGGTAAGAAGTTGGTTCTTCTAGGAGAAAGGTCTCATCCCTAGAGGAATACCGAAGATCAGAAAGAACAGTCCTGGGGAGAAGAGAGCCTGTCTCCTTTCCTGCAGAGCAGAGGGAAGGCTAGCACAGAAGGACAGGCAGAGCATTTCACCTCTTGACGCCTGTCCCTCCTGTGCAGTTCCACCACCTGCCAATGGCCTTCCACTGGAAGCAAGAAGAACTCAAGTTTAACACAGCCCTGCAAAGGTTGCAGCACCGAGCTGGGGAGATCCGCCTTCTCCGAGAAGCCTTGCATCAGGGGACTGAAGCTAGACAAGGTGCAGTCCTGGCCCAGAGTCCTAAGACAGTTCAGGGCAGAGTGTGGGAGGGAGGGATTTCCTTTAGACTTCAGTTTTGACTGAACTTCTGTTCTGTCCGCATTCCTGATTTCTGCCTCCACCCTTAGTGTCCCTGCACAGCTTGATAGATACTTCTGCCAATGGAACCGGGCCAAGTGAGGTAAGTAATGGACTTCGAGATGGAGACAGAGCTCAGAGTACAGCTGGAAGAATGCAAGTTAGATCTCAGAGAGACACAGGCGGGAAAGGGAATGGCAGCGAAGCAAGAAGAACCCTATCCCTGGGAGCTGGGTGGGGAGGCAGTTTGCGACCCTGGCTCAGGCCTTGCCCTGCCCTTAGGCGCTGGCCACGCTGCTGCAGGAGACCATTAGGGAGCTGGAGATGGCTCAGACCCTGCTGCTGAAGAGGATCCAGATTTGGAAACGGCAGCAGCAGCTGGCGGGGAATGGTGCACCCTTTGAGGAGAGCCTGGCCACGCTCCAGGAAAGGTGAGCTGATGGGAAAGGAGGGGTGTGCTGAGGTTGGGCACCTGCTGCCCCTGCTGGAGGAAGTACACGGGTGAGGGAGAAGAAGCCAGGTCCGAGGGCCTTGGAGCGGGGCAAGATTCAGAGAAGCCAGTTCCAGCAGGGGTGTGCCAGTTGTTCAGCTGTATCTGTACGAGTGTGCTCAGTCCAGGGGTCACAAGTCGGGGCTCATGCAACCTGTGCTTCTGTCTTTTTTATTTTTGTCTTTTTGAGACAGGGTCTTGCTATGTAGTTCAGGCTGGCCTTGAGCTCACTTTGTAGCCCAGGCTGGTCTCGAACTCACAATGATCCTCCTGCCTCAACCTCCCGGGTGCTGGGATTACAGGCATGTGCCACCACGCCCGGCTGTGCTTCTGTCTTGAAGCTCCATGCCTGGAGGAATGGGGAACCTTTTTCTATTTGGTCTGGAGGGTAGGGAGTTTTCCAGTTTCCCCTCCAGCACTATTTATGGTGGCAGTTGTCCTGGACACCAGGGCCTGGGGAACACTCTAGAAACCACGAATGAACCTCTTGTTCAGAGCAGGCCCCTGAACTCTCTTCAGCTCAGGCGTCTTGCAGCCACACCACTGCCCACCCTATTCCTACACACACAACGGCCTGCTTTCTCCCTGGATTGAGCGAATGGGACTTTGGGCTGGAGCAGACATCTAGCCTGTATCCTGTGCCCCCTGACCATTGTCCTGGCCCCAGGTGTGAGAGCCTGGTGGACATTTATTCCCAGCTACAGCAGGAGGTAGGGGCAGCTGGTGGGGAGCTTGAACACAAGACCCAGGCATCACTGATTAGGCGGCTGGATGAAGTCCTGCAGACCCTCGTCACCAGGTGAGCCCTGTGAGCCCCCAGCCTGGCCTGGAGCAGGCCCCGAGCAGGAAGAGGGTTAGGGTTGCAAGGAAGGCCACAGGATAGTGCCTAACTCCCACCGTGTCCCCCTCACATTTCCCAGATCTTTCCTGGTGGAGAAGCAGCCCCCCCAGGTTCTGAAGACCCAGACTAAGTTCCAGGCCGGAGTTCGGTTCCTGCTGGGCCTGCGGTTCCTGGGTGCTCCAGCCAAACCTCCACTGGTCAGGGCCGACATGGTGACCGAGAAGCAGGCAAGGGAGCTGAGCATGCCCCAGGGGCCTGGGGCAGGAACGTAAGTTGGGGCTGGACTTGGGGGTGGAGAAGGCTTGCTGGGCAATGAAGCCAAGAGGAGTCAAGGGGAGCTTGGCATCATAAAGACCAGGAGAGTGAGGAAGGAACCCATGGGGTGTGGGGACCCTGAGTGGTCAAGGCAGAGGAAGGGAAGGGACCCTTTCATCCTGCAGTAGGGCAGAGGCGTCAGAATTTGGCCAGAACGAGGAACCTCCCTTAAGAATCTAAGCAGGTGAGCTGGGTGTGGTGGCACACCCCTGTAGTCCCAGCACTTGAGAGGTTGAGGCAGGAGGATTGCCAGGAGGTTGAGGCCAGCCTGGGCTACATAGTGAGTTCAAGGCTAGGCTTGAACTACATAGCAAGACCCTGTCTCAAAAAAAAAAAAAAAAGAAGAAGAAGAAGAAAAAGAATCCAAGCAGGTGGGTATGGTGGTGTTGTAACGCCAGCACATGGGAGATTGAGGCTGAAGGCAGGCCAGCTTGGACTATACAGACTAATGTTAAAAGAAGAAGAACCCCAAGTAGGGAGCTAAGGGCTGGGGAAATCCTCTCACACATGTGAGAACCTGAGTTCAATCCCCAGCACCAAAAACAAAAAGCAAAATAAACAAACAAAGAAAACAAGCAGGGACATAGAGATTTAGGGCCAGGGACCATGGGGAGTCTGCCCAATTCCCTCACGGAGGGAAGCCCCTCGCCATGCCTGGCCCAGCAGAGATGAGCTCCTTTACACTCTGACTCCCCGGCAGAGAGAGCACCGGGGAGATCATCAACAACACGGTGCCGCTGGAGAACAGCATTCCCGGGAACTGCTGCTCTGCCCTCTTCAAGAACCTGGTGAGGGACTCTTGGACACCAGGACAGGGAGAGAGGAGGCTGGGGCCCTTGGGGGGCTTGTTCTTGGAGCCCCGGGGGAACAATCTCTGCACTTATGTCCTCGCCCCTGCTCTGCCTCATCCCCCCACAGCTCCTGAAGAAAATCAAGCGATGTGAGCGGAAGGGCACCGAATCTGTCACTGAGGAGAAGTGTGCGGTGCTCTTCTCCACCAGCTTTGTGCTTGGGCCCAACAAACTCCTTATCCAGCTCCAGGTGAGCCTTGGCCCCAGCCACACCTCAGTCTTGGACCCCAAGCGATCCATCCATGCCACACTCCTGGGCCCCTCCTAATTGCCCTGAACTTCATGAGTATGGGGGTCCGTGCACACTGCAGCCAAGGCGAGCAGAAGCAAGACTAAAGGTACTCCTCCGGGGAGAGTGCATAGCGCCTGACTTATCAAGTACACCAGGCAACTGTTGACATACACACATTTGATTTTCATAGTGACGTTAAAGAGTAGGGGCTACAGCAAGTCACCAGTTTATGAACACTCGAGTCTTGAACTTTTGCGGATACAAACAGACCTCCCTTTTTTTGTTTGTTTGTTTGTTTTTTTGGTACTGGGAATGGAACTCAGGACCTTGCGCTTGCCAGGCAGGTGCTTATGCCACTGAGCTGTATCCCCAACCCTCCCTTTTGGTTTTTATACACTTCACATTGTATATTTGTGTCAAAGGTGTATAAGACTTGCTTTGTTGGACTTACCTCAGCCAATCCAACTTACGAACGTTCTCCCGGAAAACGACTTGTTTGTAAGTCGGAGACTTACTGCACTGTATTACAAGCCTTATTTTACAGATAAACACATCGGGACACAGAGGGATTTAGTAGTTTATGCAGGTAGCACAGTTACTAAGAGTTGAGGCTGGTGTTTGAGCCCAGAAGTCCTGCTCCAAAGCATTCACTCATAACCACTTCTCTACGTTGAGGCCCTCGCTGAGCTTCAGAAAGCATTTAGTCGCATGCTGTGAGCTCTTTAACTCTGCTCTGTGAGTCTTCCGTAGCCAGCCTCCCAAAACTCTTCACTTCTGCAGGCCCTGTCTCTGCCCCTGGTGGTCATTGTCCATGGCAACCAAGACAACAATGCCAAAGCCACTATCCTGTGGGACAATGCCTTCTCTGAGATGGTGAGGAAAGACCCAGAGTGAGGCCGGGCCACAGGGTTGGTTCTAACGTGGGGATGGGCTAGCTGGTGGATGGCAGTCCTATCCAAACGTGTGTGACTTTAACTCCTTCTTCTGGGCCTGGTTTCATGCTTCTAACCTTTTCATCCCAGTCTTAACAGCTGTCATGCTGTAGCAACAGAGGCTACCACAGCGAAAGCACCACGTTTGTGAGCCGCAGCTCAGGGGACAGTGCTGGGGGGACCAGGGGGGAAGATGGGAAGGATGAAGGTGGCTGAGGAAGCCCGGTGGTGCTAGTCTGAGGAGCTCCCTCCCCCTCCCAGGATCGTGTGCCTTTTGTGGTGGCTGAGCGCGTGCCCTGGGAGAAGATGTGTGAAACGCTGAACCTCAAGTTCATGGCTGAGGTGGGGACCAGCCGGGGACTGCTCCCAGAGCACTTCCTCTTCCTGGCCCAGAAGATCTTCAATGACAACAGCCTGAGCATGGAGGCCTTCCAGCACCGTTCTGTGTCCTGGTCACAGTTTAACAAGGTTACTCCCCTGCTCTTTGGACCTCCCTCCCTGAAATTCCTCATTCTCTGGGCATCCAAGGCCTCCCCAGCCTCTGCACAGGGACAGGCCGCTAAGATCTTCACAGAGCCCCATTCTGTCAATCAGGAAGGTCTTTGTTGTGGTTCAGGCAGGAAAATCCCTCTGCTCTGAGGGTCACCCCGTGTTACAAGAACATGAGGCGTTCTGGTGTCTTGGTGGACACCCAGCTGAGTAAACACAGCCAGGTACTGCTCTGTTTAAAAAAAAAAAAAAAAAGGAAAGGAAAAAAGAGAAGCCCATGTGACCAGAAGATGTGTTAGGAAAAGGAGCTGGATGATTACAGCTGGCAAGTCAGCTTCCTCTGTCTCCGTCTCTGCCAGGCCTTGTGAGAGTCACGTTTAGCACATGCAGCGGTTTCGAGGGCCTCCAGTGCCACACCGCCGGAGCCAAAAATCTCAGCTCTGCTTCTTACTGGCTCTACGGATTTGGACAAGGCATTTGAGCTTAATTCACTTCCGTAAAACAGGATTATGATAGTACCTTCCTCCATAGCCTTGTAAAGATCAACTAATAGCTGGGCGTGAAGGCGCACACCTGTAATCCCAGCACTTGGGAGGCTGAGGCAGGAGTATTGCTGTGAGTTTGAGGCCAGCCTGGGGTACGTGAAAGATCAAATAATATTTGGAAAGGCTTGGAACAGTACCTGGCACGTGGTATGAGTGTTGGCTGTTGTCATTGATGAACCTCAGCTCACTTGGTCCCTCAGCCCTGTGACTCTGATTCGGAGGGGAGGGGCATAGCCAAGTGCTTGCCCTAACCAGGTTCCAGCTCTGTCCATCGCCCCTGCTCACCCCAGCTTTCTCTGCCACCTCTTAGGAGATCCTGCTGGGCCGGGGCTTCACCTTTTGGCAGTGGTTCGATGGTGTCCTAGACCTCACCAAACGCTGTCTCCGGAGCTACTGGTCAGACCGGTGAGTCCTTCCCTGCCCTAGCTGGACCGAGCAGCTGCACCTCTGGCTCTCTCTCCACACCCAGAGCCTACACCCGGTCCTCTCCATCCCGGCCAGGCTGATCATCGGCTTCATCAGCAAGCAGTACGTCACCAGCCTCCTTCTCAATGAGCCCGACGGAACCTTCCTGCTCCGCTTCAGTGACTCAGAGATCGGAGGCATCACCATTGCTCATGTCATCCGGGGCCAGGATGGTGAGGTCTCCCCAGCCAGCCCTTTGCCTTTGTGCCTCTGTCTGTTTCTTCTGGAAAGGAAATATTCTGGCCTTCCTTGATGCCAACTTGGTCTTGGGAAGTTCTTCTTCAGCTCCAACTTCTTTACCTCCATTTTCTAAATTCCATCTCTCACTGTGAGCTCATGGCAGTGAAGACTAGTGGGTCCCCCTCTCTCCACAGCCCTGCCACCCTTAGGCTCCCTCTTGCCTTGGTGGATTGAGAATGGGTACCATTGTAGGCTGGGAAGGGGAGGTCTAGACAGAGAAGATCCAGGGTCTTATTCCTTCCACAGGTTCCCCACAGATAGAGAACATCCAGCCATTCTCTGCCAAAGACTTGTCCATTCGTTCACTGGGAGACCGAATTCGGGATCTCGCTCAGCTCAAAAACCTCTACCCCAAGAAACCCAAGGATGAGGCTTTCCGGAGCCACTATAAGCGTGAGCTGGAGCTGGGAGCTCTGATTCCTTCCTGTCGCACACCTCCACCCAGCTCCCGGCCACACCCTTCTCCCTGCCTGCCTGCTGTGCGTCATCCCTGGCTTCCTTCCCCATTTTTGTAGCTCTTTGTCCACATGCCCAGCAGCCCTCCGTGCAACCTTTCTAGCTCCCTCCATCCCTGAACTAGAGCACTTCAGGGCTATCCCTTCTTTCTTTCCCACAACAGCTGAACAGATGGGTAAGGATGGCAGGGGTTATGTCCCAGCTACCATCAAGATGACTGTGGAAAGGTGAGTGTGGCTGAGTGGGTGACAGGTGGGGCGTGGAGGCTGGCACTTGTGTAGAAGGAGTGGCAGCCTCCGTCCTTCAGTACATGTGCACCTTCTCTTCTCAGGGACCAGCCCCTTCCCACCCCAGAGCTCCAGATGCCTGCCATGGTGCCCTCTTATGATCTTGGAATGACTGCTGATCCCTCCGTGAGCATGCAGCTTGGCCAAGATAGGATGTGAGCAAAGACAGGAACTGGAGTGGGCTATGCCGACAGGCCTTGAGGATGGGCAGCTGGGAGGGCTGGTGTCCAGGGCTGAAGCAGGGAGTTTTCCTTTCTGTGAAAAGGATTCCCATTCCCAGGGTTTGGTGCCCAGCAGAACAGCTGGCATCAGGGTTCTGCTTTCTTTCCCAGGCCCCAGGTGTACCCCCCACATTCTCATTCCATCCCGCCGTATCAAGGCCTCCCCCAAGAAGAGTCGGTCACGGTGCTCTCAGCCTTCCAGGAGTAAGTCAGAACCTCTGGGGACAGAGTGGGGAACAGCGTTCTGCTGCCAGGTGTGGGCATTTACATCTGTCAGGAGAGGCTCTTCTGTGGGAAGGGGTGGCATGTGCTAATACCCTTTCTTTTTCTCTGTGGTGGCGGGTCAGAGCCAAGCTTCATGGATTCAAATTCTAGCTCTGCTACTTGCTGACCTGGGGCATATCACTGAACCTCCGATGTCTCGTCTGTAAAATGGGGCATACTAATTAGAATAATACCTACCTCATGGGATTACTGCAAATGAGTTCACAGTATTGTTGGGTCTGTATTCCCATCACTCTGCGAGGCTGAGGCAGGAGGATCACAAGTTCGAGCCTAGCCTGGACAAGTTAGCTAGTGAGACCCTGTCTCAAAAAAGTGGGGTGGAAAGTAGGTATATAGCTCAGTGAAAAGGCCCTGGGTTCAATTTCCAGTACAACAACAAAAATTTGTCATATGTCCAGAGCTGAGCTCTGTGCTGGGCTTGTAGCAATAGCTACATTAATATTTTCTGTGCTAGCCTTGAAGTCCACTGTTACTTATCTGTCATTTACTTACTTTTTTATTACTGTGCTGAGGATTCAATCCAGGGACTTGTATATGACAGCCATGGACTCCATCTCTGAGTGGCACCTCCAGCTGCTGTGTTGATTTTTATGTGTTCATCTATTTTGGCCTAGGCATTTTTCTTCCCCAAGTAGCACCTGCTGCTTATAAAGTCTTAGTCAAGGCGCAGCATCTGCCTTTCCAGAAGCTGAGGTAGAGTTGAGGACTGGAGGTGTTACAGATATCGAAGTTCAGAGTCCAAAGAAACACAATTGGGCTGCCCCTCACCAGACCCTCATTTTGCGGGTGAGAAGACCGTGCTCCGAACACAGAAACGGGTTGCCCAGCGCTACGCACTCCAACAGCAGCTGAGTCAGGACAAGGCGCTGCAGCCCGCTTCCGCCCTCAGGGGCCTCGACTGTGACACCCTGGCTTTGGCCAGGCTTCGTCTCTGATTGTTTCTTCCTTCCTGCCCCCAGGCCTCATCTGCAGATGCCCCCTCGGCTCAGCCAGATAAGCCTGCCCTTTGACCAGCCTCACCCCCAGTGAGTGAAAAAGCCCCTCTGAACTCCCTGCTTCCCGTTCTTTCCTGGCCTCACCCCTCTCCCTCATTTCCTTTCCTGGGCCCTGCCAGGAGCCTGCTGCCTTGCCAGACTCAGGAGCATGGCGTAGACGTGAGCATGGATGAAGACAGCTGCCTAACCCAGCCAGTGGGAAGATACCACCAGGGCACTTGGTGCGTGGCAGCCTTGGGTGGAGGCTGGCTGGTAGCTGAGGAGGTGGACGCTGGGCCTACTTCACTGTTTCTCCGTCTTCTCCTTGCAGGGTTGATGAAGACATGTTCCCTGCCCTGCTGCCTCCCACTGAACAGGACCTCACCAAGCTCCTTCTAGAAGGCCAAGGGGAGGCCGGGGGAGGGTCCTTGGGAGCCCAGCCACTGCTGCAGCCCTCCTCCTACGGGCAGTCCGGGATCTCTATGTCCCATCTGGACCTAAGAGCCAACCCCAGTTGGTGATCCCAGCTGGAGGATGAGCCCAGTGACAGCGCTCCTGTGTCCGTGGATCTGCTGCGGATACCTGCTCACAGAGGTGCCTGCCATCTCCAGCTGCTCCAGGAGGAAAATACTTTGCCAGGGGAATATATGGTGGGGAGAGCCACTCCGCCTTCCTTTCTTCCTACCACACACCGCTGTTCCCTCTCTTGTACCGCTGGAAGCAGCCCAGGCTCCACAAGAAGAGATGCCTGACCATGCTGCTCCTGTAGCGCACACACTGCTCCCCACGGAGGCGGAGGCTGAGGGAAAGCTGGCTAGGCAAGAGCACAGGTTAGGGCATGGAGGGCTTCTCCACCTACTTGGACCCAGAGCCTGGGACATACATGCAGACATGTGCACGCTTCTGCACTACAAACCAGGAACAGGAGAGTGGGGACCTGGGTGCCAGCTCTAGGGGCACAGGGAGGCAGTTTAGGAGAGCCTGTGTGAGAAGTCTGGACACGTGGATTCTGCTCCGATTAACAAAAATGTAAATTCCCCCAAGGCTCAGATTCTTGTAAAAGGAGCCTTGGTACACAGCTGGCAATGCACAGAAGTTCAAGGGCCAAGCTTCTTTGGGTGTAGCTGTGTGAAAATGTGTATACTCAGACCTACTGACACGTGGAGTCATTTGTTATGACTCTACAGAACACGTGTCTATCTGCTTTCACCCGTGTGACAACACAGATTTGGAAGTGAGACACTGTACAATACACAGCAAGTATGGTAGCCTCTGATACATGCTAAGCCAGATGTTCAGTTTTGAATGTGACTATACACAGGGGGATCTATGACTTCTTCGTATAACTGTGGTTTCGGGCCGCGTACCCCCAAGGCTGCCCAGAACCAGGAGGTGGAACTGACATCCAGGCTTCACTGTGTGGCCCCCGAGGTGCTGGGGGCTCTGCCCACTGCTTCTCTTCTAGCTCCCCATCCACTGCCAGCTTCCCTCCACTCCCTCCACCCCATGCCACCCACTGTCCCTCTTGGTGTGTGTGGGGGTCATGGATCCTAAGCCATAAAATAAATTTTATTCCAAAATAACAAAATAAATAATCTACTGTACACAATCTGAAAAGAAAGATGCTCTAAGTGCTCGGACAGGTGCTGTGGTCCGGTCTCACCTGGGCAGACCCTGAGTCCAACCCAGGCCTCTCAGGGGCTGGCAAGAGACCCCCCCTATCTCCCCCAGAGGAGCAGGGGGAAAAAACTGCTGAGGACCGGGGGCAGAAAGGTGGGTATGTGGGCAGACTGCCAGCACTCATTAAATTAAAGAAACAAACTAGAAGCACAAAAACGCGGACAGGGAGGGGAGGAAAGGTCCAGTGTTCCCAGGCCCCCAGTTCTGGGGAGAAAGGTTGCCATCTGTAGCTGCTGGACCTTCCCAGGGAAGTCCCCCTGCCCCCACGTCCAAACTTGGTCTCACTGCTCACATCACTGTGGCCACCTAGAGGATGGGAGTGGGATGTATGAGGGGGAGCCCAGCTGCCCAGGGGCAGAGTCCTTGCCCCTGTTCTGGGCGGGGGTGAGGGGGCACCACACACCCTTTGTGTGTCCTCTTGCCAGGCCCCTGCTCATTATTGCTTGAAGCCCCATAGTCCTGTGCCCATGGAGCCGGTGGGAACGCAGGAGAAGGGCAGCAGAAGGATCAGGGCGGTGACGAGATTCCGAGGATGAAGAGTGGGGTGTCTGTGAGAGCCAGAAGCCTGGTTTGCTGGATCTGAGACCAACAGTCCATCCTCATTGCCTGCTGGCCTCAGCCTCCACTTTCACACTGCTTCTGCGACCCTCCACCAGTGCCGGATGGGGTCCTGGGGCCGGGCACCGGTCCAGCAGCCCTTCCTCGAACTCTGCAGGAAAAAGGCGTAGTTAGGAGATGCTGAGTGCGGCTGTGGACAGAGGAGGTTGGGAACAGGGGTAGGGGCACAGGAAGCTGTGAAGACGAGCTCACTTGATTGAATTACTATCTCCTGCCCACTGCAAGTGTATGGGGGGGGGTCCCCTACGCAAGTGTGAGCCGGCCCTCCCCGCTTCTGCCCTTGTGTAGCTCTCTGCCTCTGTATGTGTCTCTCTGTCTCTGCCGCCTCTGCTCTGCTGGAATTTCTGGTTCTGTCAGGAGCTGCGGGGGTGGTTTGGCTCTGACCTCTCCCCCTCCCCCCTTCCCAGGCTCCTCCACCCCCACTTATCTCTGGCCCCCTCCCAGGCCCCACCCACCCTGTGATTGCCCCCTTTTTTGATAGCCAAATCAGGGGGAACACAGGAAGCCAGCCTCTGAGCTCCTCCCTCAAAGAGCCCCCCTTCCAGTCCCCACCCCCACTTCCCACCCACGCACAGTTTAAAAATACCAAGCCAGGGTTGGTGGCTTTGTCTGCTGCGTCACTGGCAGCCCAGCCGCTGCCTGCCCTCTGCTAGCCCATTCCCCCACCCACCTTCCACACACAAAGCATCCCTCTTTGGGCTCGTCAGGGCAACCCTAACCCTACCACAGCTAGCCTGCTCGGCCCTCCTGCATTAGTGGAGTTCTAGCCAGGCTTCCCTCCCTGGATGGTGACCCTCCTTCTCACTCACCTTCACTCCCCCTTCTGTCCTGCCACCCCCAGCTTCCCCTTCACAGATCTCCACCAGGGTCAGACCCTGCCCAGGCAGAATGGCCCGGCAGGGTCCTCTCCACCCAAAGACTGGTTAGCTGGAGCGCCTCCTACTGTCCTCTCAGGCAACTGTATCCTCCTCCCACCCTGGTCCCAGGACACCAAGACTGCTGTTGGGGGCCTGGGTGGCTGGAGTGCTTGGGGACAGCACTTCTGGCTGCCTCACCTGCGAGAGGTGGCTTCGCAGGCACACAGGGGCTGAGGCGGCCCACGCGGTCATGGGAGACGAGGCGGGCGAGCCGCAGCCCCTCGTCCATCAGTGTCTGCTGCAGGATGTGGCGGCTCCATAGCCCATGCGCTGGCAATGCCAGGGGCAGGTCAGCAGGGGGCGGCGTCAGCCTTGGGCACGACCCCACAGCTGTGGGCATGGGCACTGGTCAGGTAAGGGGCTGCGGCCAACATAACCCCACCCTCAACCGCACAGCCAGACCCATAGGTCCTTCTGCTCCCATCCAGCCAGGCCTCCCAGCCCTATTCCAGGCAGTGATTCCTGGTTTGCTCCTCCCACCCACCCACC